TAAAATAATACTGTCTCCAATACAAAAAAAAATGTTCCACTACTGAGAATCTCTGATCATCCAAGAGTAGGAGGAAAAAAACCCCAAACTTCAAAAAACCCTCCATGCTCCTATCTCATGGATGGTCTCCATATCTATCATCTCACTTAAAACACTGGTTCCCTTTGCCTGCCTTTGTTTATCTGACTGCAGAACTGCTCCAAAGCTGGCCCTGGACTTAGTCTGAGCTAGTTAATAGTAAGGTTCGCATAGCATTTCACCTACCCTCACCCTCAAGGGCTTAGTAGCAAGCTTAGGGCTGCACCTCTTCCCCTGCACATAGTAACACAAACTCTTGTCGCAAGGGTGTACTGCTTATGCCGGGTCCATCAAGCTGAGAAATTTAAAGCAGGTGCTGCTGCACCAGCTTTGCCTAATCACTAAGCAGAAATTCTGGGACTCCTAAATGCAGAACTGGGTCTACGGACTTTTGAAACATAAACTCCGGGGGAGTAGATTTTTCAAATATCACATTTCTGAGGAAAATCTTGCCTTGTACTGAGCAGTGTCTAAAAATTAAAATACCACCGTAGTTTCATTTACCACAAGTTACTGTAACTTCAAAAGGAAGTTTACCATGCAATGCAATGGAAACCTATCTTTCTCTAAGCAGAAAGAAAAGTAGTTTGTAAAAAGCATTTGTAAGTATAAAAATGATTCAATTTCTTTTGTCATGCTACAATTGGCAATATAAATAACTCAAAGAATTGAAAAACTAAAAGCCAAGGAAGGGCATTTTCTTAAATCACAAAGTTAAAGTTATTTTATTCTATATCATAAAACCTTATGTATGCATGTTCTCTTCCTGTCAGTACGGTCAGAACTGACAGTGGTTCTCACAGTCTAATATTTTTTTAGTACAGGAGTTTATTTCAAGTTTGTCAAATTGGTAGTTTGAAACAAAGTTTTGCCTTCCAGATATCTTATTCAGACAGATCGTGCAGTACACTTCAGATGTAAATGGTATTACCATACCTACAATTCAGGAGAAAAAGTGTTTTACAATCTTTAAAGTTACTTTAAAATGAAATGGGAAATATATGGAGGGTGTTTTAGCATTTGCCACTGAAAATTCAGTGGCTAAATAGGGAAAAGGAGGAAGCAATTTGAGTGGTATATGCAACTGGTACAGCTTGGGAAGGAATGGAAAGAGAGAGAAAAAAACCCAGTATGTTTCTGGAGGCTAGCAAATGCCTGCAGAGATCAGGATGCAAACAGAGTCATCAGGACTTGGAATGGAACCTAAAATGTGTGCTTTCCAATGCAAATTCTTTTGTCCAGCAAACTGCCATGATACTATCAGCAGAGAGTGTGTTCTGGGGAATGCATGAGATACGACCATTTTTTAACAAAGCAGACTGAAAAAGAAGATACTTTAGAGAGGGGAAAAAAAAAAAGAAAAAGAAGACTATTAAGCTCGTAAAAGCAGGGACAGAAAGTTAGAAAATGCTAGAACTGAAGGTACACATGCAAATGACTTACAGTCCCTTTGTGAAAATGCTTTATGATCCAGAATTTATTTAAACAATTAAACACACAGACACAGCCCCGCAGGAGTTCTGACTCCGTGTAGTAACTGTATGGACTTGGACCTGGAAATTAATTCAGTTTATGTGTAAGCTTCTGCAATGTCAATAGGATCTCTGGCTCATTTGTTGAAGAAATTAGAAGGCATATAATAAAAGCAGTTCTGCAAATGGAGTTTTGAAAACAGAGAAAGACTCATAATTAAGTCAACTGAATATCATTCCAGATAACTGAATTCTTATATAAACCTAAGTAATTTACAACACATTATTCACCAATGGCAAATAATTGTGTTCATTTTCTAGATGCCAACCCTGTATGAAGCTGAAGCTAGAGTTCTCAGTAGCTCTGAAAAACTTAGTTACACTTAAAACCAAGAGAGACTGTATTTTAAATTTACGCTATAGAAGTGACAAGTATTCTGAAAGATTATACGGTAAGCTTCTCCTGAAAAATAGATTTTTGGTGATTTTGACACAAATTGCTCTGTGCATTAGATTCCTATCTATAAAACTAAAATTACAATATCATTTTCACAAGTGTGTTGCGAGGATGAATTAATTAGCGCCTATGAAGCATTCAGTAAGTCCATATAAAAAAAAAAATCTCACGATGTAATTAGTAACTCAAGGGAATGCAGAGCTAAGCTGAAGTGTGGTAAATAAGACCTCAACCCCTACACTGAATGATAAGGATAAAAATGGAACTCTGAATACTTTCCATTCAGTGAATAGCACTCATTTTTCTCTTGAATGGAGCAGAGATCCTGTGGAAAAAAACTGCTATACAATCATGAGAAAGCCATTTGTCATTCATTACTCTGTTCTATATTTGATTCTGATTAATGTTTTCTTTTCCTTTTCACATGATTTTTCTTTTATTCCCATTTATAGTCCTTTTTCATATTTTTTTCTAAACAGAACACAGTGTCAGCAATATTAATTATACGGAACTTTCCAACCTAACATGTTATAGGGCCTTCACAATTAGGCACAGAAAACTCAGTCATTCACTGTGATTTCACTTCATCTAAAAAAAAAAAAAAAAAAGAAAAAATTGATGGGCAATTTTGATTGCAGTATTTGTCTCACGTCCCTTGTCAGCAGTGCCCACTTACTGCAGTTTTGTTGGCTATAAACTTATGGGTACACTGTGGATGGAGAACTACACCATGGTTCTTCCACCCAGTGACAGAGTCCAGTCTACAGCATTATTACAGCACAGGCCCTGTCTGCTTGATGTTCTATTAGAAAAGAGGGTGGTCCAAGGAAAGTGTGGACCACAGGACAGGCCACGACAATACAACCAACAACTCTCATCTTGGTCACTCATGCCTTAAAGGTTTAAAGCATACTCCAACACTTTGGTATACTTTCTAAGCATCTTATCATATTCATACCCAAGAACTCCTGGAACACACCTGCCTAATACTGCACACCATTAAATATTCAGCTCACTATAGGACATGCCATTTTTGAAGCAGGCTGCACTCTTTTTGTCCTCCACCAGCCTACATCCCTGTCCTACATCTAGCGCTATCACTGAATGGGAAACACTAGCAATGCCAAGCCCTGCTTGATATGCTCCATCATCTCTGAGGAAAATACATCCTATCTGCCTTCATGTTCTCTTCAGCACTGACAGTGAACTTTCCTCTAAGTAGACCAGCAGAAATACATTACATTTCTGGATAGAAAGGAAAGCTATACAGAGATCCAAGAAAGGAAAGCTATACAGAGATCCAGACTGCTAGCATGCAGAATGTAGTAGTCTTAATGCAAGTCAAAAGCACTGACAGATTTACAGCATATATACTACACAAGCTGTAAATGATACTGATGACCTGGTATTTCCTGGATATCCCTGCACTAACTCAGAAATCAGACCAAGAGGGGAAACTGGGCCACAAAGGGAACTCATCTGGCCACTGGGATGCAGCAGCACAGCAAGAAAATTGTATCTATCTTCAAGATTACATACTGGGCTAAGCATCCGTTATGCCACAGAATTAAAATTAAATGTGATTTATGCTGTTGTAATGTTCTTTGTTGACTAAATCAGTCTAAGAATAAAGTAAACTTATGTAGTCATACAAACCCCCCTATGTTATTAAAATACATCATTCTCAAGTTAATATGCATACCTCAAAATAATTATGCTCTTGTAATTTTGACAGGATTTGCATATGATGTTCATTGCTATTCAAAGTCAGAACAAAGAGTAAGATATTGAAATAATACAAAACATCTCAACTAACACAAATTTAAAGTAAATCTGTAAAACACGTTGAATTACAAACAAGAAACATGCCACAACATGTATAGTGACACTCAAATGTATGTTAATTTGTCAATTCTGGAATTTTCTGCAGATAAGCCTCATGGCTACCTATTTCTTTATGCACTTCCCCCTTTTTTCCTTGTCCAATTGCTTCCTCCAACCCAGGAACAACATTCCTGGATTCCTCCTCTTGTAGGGGGAAAAAAAAAAAAGAAAAACATCCTGAGAAGGCAGCTGAAGACAGTATAAGAGATCGTACTGGGAAAAGTAGCCTGTCTTGTGAGGAGAATGTGCAAGAACATGCCAGTGCCTGCAGTGCTACCTTACACTCTAGCTTTTATTAGGATCTTAGGTTCCCAAGCACAATCCTCCTATAGCCTACCAGTATCAGAACGGTTGTAAAGTAGGGGACTACAGAGGGGAGACAGAAATCTTTACCCACTGACCCCTAAAACTTCACAAAAACCCCTTGTCCAAGAAATGTAACAGTACATTAATACTTAAAAGTGGTAGCCAAATAATTATTAAACTATCATCTCTGCAGAAAATTTTAATAGTGTGATCCATTACTAATGCAGAGCAGCTGGGATGTTCAGAATACACCTAACTAGTCTGCTCAGTGAACAACAATTTATGAATATAAGGGATTTATTTTGTTTCTGGGATGATACTTCTGAACGTTTTATTTGAACTGAATCATTAGGGAGGCGTATAACTATTTTTATGCAAGCCCAAGAAACATACCTCCCAGTAATCATTTTCAAAGCATATTAATTAATGATATTTAGTTAATTTTATTTGTATATGTATATATTTGGGGATTACTTTGCTACATTCCAAAAACTGCAATATGGCTATCAAAGGACTATAACTTTTCTTTAGCTGCTCATATAGTTACCAGTTGCACGTGAAGCCCTAGGCAAAACAGGTTTTAATTTAAAAAAAGAAAAAAAAATTACAATCCCTTTATTTATATAAAAGTTAATTAAACCACTTCCAGAAATCTGATTCAGCTTACCAAAAAAGAAATAGTAGGACGCTACATGAAAATACATTTTGATTTCTTGACAAATTAAAGAAAGAAATCACCTTAAAGAACTGAGGCTTGTATTCTGTACTCTAACAGTTAAACTTTAAACTGCTTTGCTACTTACCAAACCCTCACTGGGCATAATGCTGGTGAGATGAACTACCTCAAGGTGTGCTGACTGTGACACCAGAGAATCAGATGAGAGCGAAATGATGTGGTCACAAATCCCAGACAAGGTTTTACACTACGAAGAAAAACAAGTCAGTATAATTCCTCATATTAAACTGAAACTACTAGCAAAGAAGGTCTTATTCTGAGAACTACCTAAGAATAAACAGATAATTTTATTTCTTAGCATTGTAAAAACTACAGATATATGAAAGTGAAGAACAAGAGGTTAAAGGAACAGAAGATATCCATAAATGTCAAGAAAATGTACATGCACATACAGTTCTTCTGATCAGATTTCACTGTGCACTGAGAACATCTGTAATCTCAACTATCTTCTCCACTCCAACTACATGCATTTTTAAAAAAACCCAAACAAAAACCTGATGAACTTCATCTTATCTGTCATTGTAATGTGTCATTATAAATACAATGGAAGTCGAGTGAAATATGTAAAAAATAAATGCCTTATACACCAACTTAATAACATATTTTGGCTACCAAATAATGAGAGCAACCCTACCAACAGTGATAATTAGGTGAATTCTGCATTATATATACAACTTATAAAATTTTTCCTTTGTTAAAAATTACACTGGCAGAAAAGTGCCTTAGTTAATCCATTTCCTGAAGTAAAATTTTCATGCATCTTTGAACACATACTTTAACTGATATTCTAGATCACTACAACTACGCAATAATTTTGTCTTATCCTGCCTTCCAGCTAAAGATCTCAAAATCTTAATGCCAATCCACACGAACACCTTCAAAGTAGGAACCCCATTGCATAGATGGTAACAGTGATACGGACAGATTAAACCTATCCATCAAAGGCAAACAGTAAGTCTATGGATCAGAAAGGAGCTGATCTGTACTCTCAGAGAATCTTCCCGTGTAAAGATTTATTCCAAAGTTTGCATGTGTTGCTTAAAGCATTCCTTCAAAAAGACTATGCCTAAAAATATTTGAACCTAATCCGAAAGCAGTCATTTAGGTGAATTTCAGAATGGTCTTCCGGTCGAAGTTGTGCTGTATGCATCTATTTTCCTTTGGGGACTATACTCTCATTTTCCCTAATTATAGCAAATAGTAGTGAAATCCCTTAAGGGAAGTTTTATTTCAGGCATTTGCAAAAGCATGAGGATTTCGAATATCTCATTTGACACTATACATACAAGTTAAACAAATAAAGTTGCCACAATGAATATATTAACTGGCTGAATATATAGATTATATTTCCATTCACTATATAGTTGGCTATCTGGATATCCAAGTACAGCTCTGGAGTACTGGATGTGGCATTTTTATTTTATATCAGCTGAAAGATGCAAAGCGTTCCATTCAGGTATGCGTGACCGCATCTAAAGGTCACCAAAACCCAGAAATATTTCTAGCAGTTTCAGCTTTGGGCCAGAACCCCTAAACAAAACTTTAGGTCCTGTCTTCTCCCACCAGAGATATGGAAACTGGCTTGCTCAAAAAATGTATTGTACTGCTATTCTACATACAAACTGATGGTTGACCCTGTCTGTGAGTATATGCTTTCATCCAGCTTTTGAATTATTGTTATATCAAAATATTGCTATGATTTCAAACTGAGGCCCTCTCTTATGCCTTAACATTTAAGATCATATGTACAGATTAGATGCAGACTAAATCCCAGAGACAACACTTTCCACTTTCTGATGGAATGTTTTAAGTTGCAGTTGTCACATGCAATACTTTTTCAGTAAATAAACTTTGGAATGAAAGAAACAGCAAAGAAGTTTTCAATCAAACTTACTCTTATGAATCTTTAAGATCTCCCCATGATTCAGAAAGTTAATTAAAATCTATGTAGGATTTTAGCACCAGGAAAATATTCAAGAAAATTATATTGGAATAATTAAAAAATATCAGTTTGCTCTAAAAGT